GCCATTGCAGTTATAACTGGACCCAAGGCTGTCAAACTGTTTATACCCAAAGAGCCGAGGCTCAACAAATTGCTCACTTGCGAGGGCTTTTTGTTCGGAGGAGCATCCGTAGTATCTTTATTTGCTCCTTCCTAATAAAATAAAATTTTTTTTTTATCAGTCCATCTCATTGTTCCATGTTAATATACATTCATTGAATATTCAATATACCTCACTGTACGAATTATCCGGCTCGACTGGTGGAGAGGTAGAATCGTTGCTTTCCGATCCCACAGAATCAGGCACCGACGACGCGGAAGAATTTTCATTCGCGTCTATTTTGTCGTTGATCGTTGTTGGAGCTGCATCGGCTGAACTTGTCGCCGTTGGACTTATCGATTCTTCATCGTCAAAAAAAATAATTGTCGATCCCGTGACGACGTTTTTCAACGAATCGGAATGATGAGAAGTTGTAAGTAACGCGTTCATATATCCGGCATCCAACAAACTCGGAGCAATAGATTCTGTTATTATGTTCTCTACTACTTGCGTACGCGAAGAGATAGTTGTTGCAGTTTCTCCATCTGCCCCTGCCTTTAATACGATTCAATTTTAAATACTCATTTTATGTAGCACATAGATTCAATATCACCCTAATCGTTACATCACAAAAGAATGCACTGAAAAAATGGATCAAACAACAATAGTACCTGCAGAAGCGTAGTGAAATACGTAAATGTAGTCAAGAAGGTTTTCGTTGCGAAAATTTGTATTGGCTCTGGCGTAGCACTCACGGAAGTTGGCAATGTGCTAGTTTTTTTAACAGGCGCTTTTTCATACACGATGTCGGATGAAGTCGCAATGTTGGTTTTGATGACAGTGCTGTCCTTTTCCAGATACGTATTGTAATAAGTATAGGTAACATAGTAAGTTTTAGCTACGTCTGTGACCGACGTGGCAGCGTCATCCGTTGCTGTTTTAGGTGGCGTCGTCACACTTGTAGGTAGCGACGGCTGAGCAGATTGTGTAATTATCAACTAAAACAAACATCAAGATATTGTAAAAAGTAATTCGGATGAAAATTGACATTTTCGCGTTAAATGTATTTGCATTACTTGAGTGATTATATCGTTGGCCGTTTCTATTTTCGTTTTGCCATCTTCCAAGTAAGTTTTCTCGAGGAATCTCGTACTCAAATACGTATTTGTTTCGGGTCTTTGAGTCTCGGACGGCTCAATGATCATATCGAGATAATATTGCGGAGCAGTAACTGTATTTGCAATCACTCTTGTGCTGCTTCCCAATGCATGGTTTTCGTCCGGATGATCGGTGTTCAATGTTAAATAAGTATACGTGGTTTTGAAAATTTCCGTCTGCAATGTTGGCGACGCTTCGAGTATCACGGATGCAGCTTCAGGAACTGGTTTTCTATGCCTTTCTTCGGTTGCCGTGTTAGCAATCACCTATTGAAAATTAAGTGTATGTCACGTCTCAAATCCAGTGGTTCAATTTGTGCAAAAAAGCTACGGTTTTTGCATGTATGGCACGATCGTTGCACAATACGAAAAAGAAATTTTGTATTATCATGTTTAAGTTTTCGAATGATAATAAGTAAATGCAATTATTAATGAAAACAAAAAAAATGAGAAAATTCCGGTAAAACTTAAATAATTAATTCTTTCAAAACTGTTAAATTGCACAAGTTCATTCATTTATAGGCAGTTAGAGGCATATTGGCCGATACTTGACTTCATTCTTTTGAAAACTATTTACTGAGTTACCTGTTGATCAGTGGATACGATTGTCGTTCCATCGCGTGTAATGGTATTGAGATAGGTGAAAGTTGTAGTGCAAGTTTTTGTGACAAATTCGTTTGGCTTGTCTTGTGGTAAAAGCATTAAAACTGCTTCCGAGAGTGTCAGGGTGGGCTGTGAATTTGAATTTTCCCATCTGTAGGCAGGTGTAGTGCCAGCGACAATGACCTCGACTCCATTAGACATCACTCTCGTGGCAAGATTGAACCTTCGTCCCTCATCTTCTCCTTCATTGTTACTAACTAAATGTCCTGCTGCTTTGAAATATCGTTATATATTATTGAATTAAATTATTCGATATTTTAAATTTGTTTGAAACATTTACAAAACAATACGGACATGACAACATAGAGTTATAAATAAAAAAAATTTTTTTCATCTAATCTCAAATTTTTCAACACTCTCACTAAATATACACAGAAATATCCATGCATCAATTTATTAATAACATTTGTAATTCAATTATGATATAATTTTTATTTACAATCGATATAATGATTCGACATGATATTAATTTAGAGTTTACCTAACATCTGATTGAAGATGTTATGCACTATAAAGAAAATCAGCAATTTTAGTTGGAAAAATATTTGCAATAAAAATATTTACACAAGATAATTAATAGAATGCAATATGTATATGTATTTACATGTTATACAATGAGAAATAATTTTTACAAATTACGTAAAAGTTTTCAATTTTGTACACGTAAGAAGCCAAAAACCATTTATGAAAATTAAACGTATTTCAACGAGTTCAGAAGGACTTAAAGTTTCGGTTAGAAAGATACTTACCTAAGGAAGAACTAAATACAACTGAAGATGAAGACTGTGTAGGAGACACAGTTACCGTTACAGGAATAGTTACTGTCAAAGTTGTTACCCTCGGTCTCACTGTCGTAGACGATGTTACTTCGGTTTCTTGACCGTTGAATTTAGTCACAACATACGTGTAAGTACGTAATCGTGTAGATGTTACAACTTGTTCGGAATAAACTATGCTAGTCAGAAGTGCGGGAGTTAATTGGTGAGAATCTACAGTTGATGAGATTTTTTCATCCTCCTCAACTTTTGATGGAATTATTGGTAAAAAATCAGGTCGAGATAACGACAGGTATACGTCATCTGCTAATCCAGCTTCAATATCTTCAGGCGTTAACGATGGAGTAGATGTATTTATTAATACGCTTGAAGTAGATGACTGCGTTGTTGTCCCAATCGTCTCCTCGTGTTTTAACGATATTTTCGTTTCCAAAGGTATGACTGTTGGTATTGAATTTTCATTCAATGGTACTGTACCATTCACGGAATTAGTGTGCGTTTTATTAAATGTTGCACTTTGCATGATATTTGTCATGGACGTTACAATAGTAGTAACTTTTAAATTATCTTCGTTTGCAGTATTCGGTTTTTCTGTAATTCTTTTGACATTTTGCACATGTAAGCTTGTAGTACTATTAATTAGATTGGGATTGTCCGTGTGTTGATTTTTGATTGCGTTCCTATCATTATTATAGAACTCGTTATTTTTTATAGTTTGAGTTTCATTTTCCAGTATTTGATTTTCGAGTGTAGTCATGAATTTTTCATTGACTGGATTTGTAGTTGTTTCGGTAACACTGGTTAAATCAGTGGTTAACACATCCATCTCCTTTTCCATTTCTAGTAAACTCGGAGTGGTCTCACTTTGGTCTTCCGTTCTTTGCTCACTTGAGTCGTAATTTTCTAACTCATTTGGAGTGGTATTGAATTCGTAAGTAAAATTATTTATGTTATGATTTGTGCTAGATTCTTCGTCACTTGCAGGTAAAAAGAAATTATCAGTGATAATAATTGGGTCATAAGCATTAGTACTTTTTTGGTGCATTTCAAAGTTCTCGTATGTTTCAAACGAAGAAGAAATTAATGAATTATGGTCGATAAACTGCGATCCTTGTAATAGTGGAGTAGGCAAAACGTAACTGTCACTGTCATCATATTCTTCACTTTCTTCGATGACAGGAGCTGTGTAAAATCCCGTAGTGATAATAGCCACCGTCGACGTCGGTTCAGGAATGGGTCTTACATTAACTAGTTTCTTGCGTGTTATCCTTTCTCTGCGATTGGACGAAGCCGTTTTGGTAGGTTTTATTCTTCTTCTACGAGTAACTGTGACCTTGTGAGCGTTTGTTTTAATTAGAAAATCATTTGGAACACTATTGGTGATGTTATAATTTATCGCATCACTTAAATCGATACTCCTGATTCTTGTTCGAATTATGGTTTTTCGTCTCTTTGAGGAAAATGTAGACTCAAGCGGTTGATCAGGCTCTGAATTTGTATGTGAAATTAGAGGGCGTCGTCTTACAACTGTATAAGCATGTCCCTTTGGAGTTCGCATTCTCGTAATCGGTACCCTAATACGCACTCTCTTCCTACTGACATTGTCATTTACCACCGAATAGTCATCGAATCCTTGTTTTTCATCGTCACGAATATGAGAATTTCTACTGGCATCAAAATAAGTTTCACTTGGATCCCAGGAAATTTCACCTGAAAGGCCATTTACATTTTTTTCCTGTTTTTGTTTGTTTTTTTTTTTCATTTCTTGTTCCTTGCTACCATCGCACAATACTCATATTTTATGATTCTATTTTCTTAATAAACAATTAAATCTTTGGAACCATTTTCAGCGTGTGGGCGCGCGTGCGACTCTTTCCGAAAGTGTTAGTTGGATACTTCAGGAAAGGAAATTCGGTGAGGGACAAGTAAACTAAATAAAAAAAAAATAAAAAAAATAAAAAATAGATTAAACAACAAAATTTACTAAATTATTTTAGTTATCATAAATATTTTTAAGTGTATCCGTTTTGTTAGATTATTCTGTGTATTATTGTTTAAGACTAGCACCTAAATTCTATGACTTGTTCGATACAATTAAAATAATTTTAAAGCAATAAAAAAAAAAAAGAAAAATAATGAAAATTAAAAAAAAAGCACTAATGACGAATGGAAAACAAATTTAAAAAATTTTATTTTCATACTTATAAACTAAAAAATAAAAAGTCTTAATGGACTTGTTGTTTTGTATCTATCATTAAGGGTTATTTACTTCAATTAAAAATGAAAGATTTGCAATTGTATATAATAAAAACGTTTGAAACTCATTTCAAGATAAGTAGAAAAAGTGAAGATGAGAATTTGAAGGGGCTGTATCGTGAAAATGGAATTAATGAAGAAAAACGGATGTGGAAATGTGCCGTCCGACATCGCCCACTACGCTCTCGAGACTCTGAGTAGGTGCGTGCGCGCCGATTGGCTCTTCACTCCCGTCCAACACAACCAACACTGGCTCGGAAGCTGCTTGCTGATAGAAAGATGGAGAGAGGGACGCAGTCACTGTTACTTCGTCTGCATGTCTTTTGACTCTAGTACTCGTAGCTTCCTCTTCAAGTGTAACGGTGCTGAGAATTGTACTGAATTCACCAGGTCTGCGCCCTGAGACGTATAAAGTTATGACACTCGATTCTGAGGACTCTGATGATCCTTTTCCTTTTGATGATTTTTCGACTTCTTCATCCGATAAATCTTCATAACTGTCTGGCTTGTAATCGGAATCTACGGGTTGGTTTCTTCTTTCAACCTCTCCAGGTAAAGTGTTACTTTGTGAAAAAAATGGAGCTGCTGCAAGTAATGGATCCGACAAAGGATTTGGTTGTTGCGGAGCTTGTGGTTGTTGGAGAAGAAGTAAAAGTGAATTGAGGTTTGCTGCTGGTAAAGCAAGAGTGGGCGTTGAAACAATTGTATCGGTGATGAATTCGGTAGCAGTAACTACATCGGTTGTAGTATCGACAAGAGTTGTTAAAATTTCTTTACCACGGAAAGTCAAGGGAATAATTGTACTTTGATGCTTAGTGATTGTAGTGACGTACGTTGTTGCGCGAGTATCATACCGCGTTGATGGTGTGGCAGTAGAGCCTGAGACTAATGGGTTTGGCTGTCCAAACTGGCCCCGCAACAATTGAGAGAGTATTATGTTCGCCAATGGTGCACTGTCCGATAAACGAGCCATTGAGGTAGAAACGACGTTCTCGATTGAATAGACTGTGGAAGGAACTACAATAGGCTGGGAAAATCGACGACCACCCGAAGATGTTAACACATGCGAAACTTTTGTCGTTGGAGTTTCATGAATGAAAAAACGAGTAACTTCTAGCTGGCCATGGAAATTGGTGCCTGATTTTTCACTTGCCAGAACAACTACATCCCGACCATCCGAATTCATAATGGTACTGTAACGATCGGGACCTATAACCTCCGTGCTTGCTTGAGCTGTGATAATATTTCGTTTTTCTGTAATACCATTGTTAACGACCGGAATTGTGACTTCAGTGGGTATGTAATGAGTAACAGTTATCGTACCATCAAAATCACTGTCATCACGATAATCCTCGTGAGAGCTCAATCTTCCTCTGGATGGTGTTATTCTACGATTACTATTTCTAGCTCCTCCTCTAGAGCCAGTTCGCGAGGAAGTCCGCCGAGAGTTGGTTGAGTCTTGATATCTATTTGTCCCAGTTCTCGATCTTGAAGTATTTCTCGTCCTAATGCTAGTTCCTCTCGTGGGTGTACTATTTCTTTTGTAACTTGGCTTTGCCGTTGCACCTTCTTTCTCCCGAAGTGTAAATTGTCTATTGGAATTATTAACATGCGATGGCTTTACTCGAGAACCTCTAACAGGACTAGTTGCTTTTGATCTTGTTCTTATTTGCGAGTTATCAAAATACTCTTCGGATGACTTGTCTTCTTTATTAGCACTATGATTCGGACGAGATGTCGCAGTCAAAATTCTGGCGCGAGTATTATATCTAGCATCGTTATTTGATACTTTGGAAATATCTTCTTTACTTGAAATTGAGTCACTATCCACATCGTCTTCTACATTTGAAGTTTGAGAAATCGGTCTTCGAAAGCGAGAATTTAAAGGTCGTGTTTGGTTAGTTTGTCGACGTACTCTTCTGCCTCTCCCAACTCTAGTGAATGGCTTAATTTGCGTTGAATTTTTCATTTCATTCGGAATAGTCTTCTGATTGGTCAATGGAGCATTTTCTTGCTGCTCAGATCCTTCATAGTCATTATCTGTTATTTCTTTAACTGGCTCGTCCTCAAAATTTTCATCTTCGACACTTTCGTTTTTAGTTTCTACGGGTGGCTCCGTTACGTCCGGCTTTCTGCCAAATAAGGTTCTTGGTGGAAAAAGATTGGATTGGCTTTGTCGTGATTTTGTCGTATGAGTAGCCACCGTAGGTCTTGCTCTGACGTTTGTAGTACGATTATTCACAGCCGATCTTGATACGTTATTTGTTCGTTTGGGTGCCGTTGTAGTAGTCACTTTTGGAGTCGATGATTTTACTCCACTGCCAAAGGCATGTGGCCTTCTGAACCTCAAAAGTGGATTGTTCGATTTTCTTGATGACTCTGTTGTTGTTGAAGGAGGTGCAGTTTCATCTTCTGATTCCTCTTGGATGACTGGAGTTTCTTCGGTGATCAAAGTGGCAGTGGTATATTCATTTGCGTTATCTTCTTGGTCATCTTGTCGAATAGTCGATGTAACTTTCGAAAGGATGGAAGAAGGACGTATTCCTGGTCTATATCTAGTCGACTGCAATGTTGGAATTGTAGAACTACCTCGACTTGTTGGTCGTATCGAAGATCCTCTTACAGATGTAGATCCACGACGACTTCCTGCATAAGTAGATGATGAAGTTCCTCTGATCGATCCTCTACTCCGTGCAGTACCAGACACTTGACTTGATGGTGATAAAGGCGTAGACGATAGAGAACTTTTTCTACCAGAAAAGCGCCTAGAACTTGAAGGATTAAGAGCTGCGGAACCCAAAGTAGGTATACTCCTGCCTCTGGAAGATGAAAATCGACTTCCTTTTCCTGCCAATGTAGCTGTTACCGTTGGAGTAATGTCACTTCTCGTAATAGTTGTCGCACCTTGAGGTTTTCTTTTCGGATTGAATGTTGGCCTGCTTCTTGATGCAAATGGTCTTATTGGGGGAGTGCTTGAAGTTCTTTTTCTGGAAGAAAATGTCAGCCTTGATTTTTTTTTCAATTTTTGTTCATCACTTTCATCATCCTCTTCATGATCCTCTTGTTCTGAATCATTGCTCAAGGTATCTTCGGATATTGATGATTGTATAACTGCAGGAGAAGGGGAAATATTTGTAATATCTGTCGCTGCATTTGGTGGTAACGTAGATGTCGGGTTTACATTCATAACTAATGTTGGTTTGGAAATAAGATAACTAGATGTACTTTCTATTATTTGAGCATATCTTCCATTTATACTCGTACCAATGACCTTTGATTCATAGTAAGTCGTTGTATCATTAGTTTCAATTAGACCCTTAATCAATCTCACGAGGCCAGTTTTGTGTCCTATAACTGGTGTATAGGTTATCAATTTATCATTATCGATTTCTGTTGAAGAGGTACTTTCTATAACCTTGACATAAAGATCATTTATCGAAGAACCAATTTGTTTGGTAGTATAATACACTGTTGTAATCTCGTCGGCATCTATTATGCTGCCTTTGTTCAGAGACAAAATACCAGTTGGCAGTACTGGAGTGGCTGATGGTGCGTATATAGGGGTTGGTTGTTCAACTTGCGTCGAAGTTTCAACAACTTGAGCATAAAGACCATCTATGTATGTACCATAAATATCAGTCATAAAATGAGTTGTGGTCCCATCGTTTACCTGACTTAAGCGAATAGTTGATAACAATCCAGTTTTAGGAGATTCGTCAACTTTACTTGGTTCAATTACTTTTTCCTCGGTATTCAATACTTGAGTCGAAGGCGGTTGTTTCCCGATGGCTCTAGGTGTAGCCTTGACTATAAAATCGTCTGGATAAGATACACTAGTTATTGTCTCTAATCTACTGTTTAATATTGTTGAATTTCCAACATAAGAAGTTGTAAAATAAGTGTACGTTGTATAAAGAGTGACAGGTTCCGGTGATAGTGTCGAACGTAATTCGTTAACCTTGATGGTTGGAATTTCTTTCAATAAAACATTTTGCGATGTTGTTACTTCATTATCAGATGTGGCTTTTGACTGCTTTATTTCTGTAATACTATTGTGAACTGGAGTCGCCACCACGAAAGGTCTGTAAGTTTTCACAACATCTAATTGCACTGCTGAACTTTCTGACACACCAGGAGTCACAACATTACTCACAGTTTCTTCTCTACTTGTTGTCGCAGTTTCATCTCCTTTAATAAAAGTAGTCCAATACGTAAAAGTAGTAAAATACGTCAACGGTTGAAGAGTTTTCGATTCTGGCTGCAACACAGCTGTTGGCTTAATAGTTTCAGTCACTATATTTGTAACTGTATCTAAGCGACTAACAACATCAGTTGCGTCTCCATTATACATGGTTGTAAAATATGTGTAAGTAGTATAAGAAGTTTGCAACAGTAGAGTTGGCGCCGGTTCTACATCATGATGATTTGTCTCTGACAATTCTTGATCTTCTGGTACGCCGTTTCTTTTCTCTGCTACATCAATCACAGTACTTCCACCTGAGCTCGAAGAAAAGATGACATCTGTTTTCATTGATCCCAAAACTTCTCCATCATTGAGAATTTTTTCGGTACTACTTAGATCATCTAACATCGTCGTTGGCTCATCAGTATAAGATAATGGCAAATCTTCAGTTGTAATTTCATTCGCGATTTCTGTTGTACTTTTTGTTTGTTCTTGAACTTGTTTGGCGAGCAAACGAGCTTCCTCGGAAGATTTTTGATTTTTAAGCGCATTTAAATACGCTAAAATTTCAGGAGGTGGTTGTGACTGAGAAACCGTTGAACTGGTCGTTGGAGTGATAGACGATGCACTTGTAGGCTGAATGTTATCAGTCACAAAATTACTAAACACTTCAGTTCTTGTTTCAATTTCCGTTTCATCGTCGACAATTATTGTTGTGAAATAGGTATAAGTTGTATAATAAGTTTTTAATTGTTCACTTTGTGACTTTACTGGTTCATTTATCATCGAGCTTGGCTCAAGTACAACTAATAACGAATCATCGGTAATTTCTTCAGGCTCTGGTGGCTCTGTAGTCGATTGTTCATCTATCGTTGTCAACTGATCCGGAATATCAGTTGGTATATTTTCAGTTGTATCTTCTGTAACTGTAGTATAATAATCATCCTGAGCATCAGAGACAGCAGTGCTGGAAGTTATGAATGAAGTATCTGATACTTTTGTTGGTACTATTGTAGTTGATGTATCTTTTTCAATGTATCCATCTGTATCGACTAAAGTGCTAAAGGGGTCGATCGTTTGCGTAATCACGTTAGTGGCTGTTACTTTTCGGCTAGAAACGCTAGTTGTTGATTCATCATAAAACGTAGTCAAATAGGTAAAAGTTGTAAATATAGTTTTGAATATCAGCTGTATCTCTTCAACTTCTTGATGATTCTGATTATTTGTATTTTCGATCATTTTTGTATTGGACGAAATTTCAGTCTTATCACTTAGATCGGGAGTATTTGTTGTAGCAAGGGGTGTTGTTTGTGTACTTGTTGGTAAAATTAATTCTGTTAAGTATGTTATTTCAGAAGAAACAACTTCCCTTGATTTCACGGACGTACTAGTTTCAGATTTGTTAGGAATAAAAAATGTTGTAAAATAGGTAAAAGTTTTGTATATAGTCGATGGTAAAAGTCTCGTAGCTAATGATAATTTGTCATCTGAGTGGAGAACTTTTTGTTCTTTTATAACAGAAAACTGGTTTTTCGGAGATAAACCTTTGATGCTACGACCTCGATTCAAAGGAATCACATCATTTCCGAGTTCATTTTCCGTTGGTTCTTCTGTGGTGCTGCTTTTACTTGGATGTCTCAAATTATTTTTTACCACAGAATCCTGAACTTCCTCGTTATTTGGTGGTACATTTTCATATAAAGATGTACTATCATCCGGATAAAAGTAGACGTTTGACGACGTGATTGTAATCTGGGCATAGTTAGTGCCAACGTAAGTACCGTAAATGGAGCTCATGTAATGTGTTGTCGTTCCTTTCGACGAAGTTGTAGAATCAATAACTTTGATCAATCCAGTTTTCTCGTCTGAAGTTAGAAGCAGAGGGCTAGTCGATTTATCAGAATGAGGAGCTTCTGGTTCCCCAATCGTACTCGGCTGAAGATCGAAAATGCTACTTAATTTTTCAGTATCCTTAACCTGCTCTTTATCGAGATACTGACTACGAGCTTGAGTTGTCGCGGTCGGTTTGTCTCCAGAATGAACACTAGTTGGCTTAATTTTCAAAATAGCAACCCCGTCGTCTGGGCGAAGCGTTGCATCACCTTTAATCGTGGTTGCCGGGCGTCCAACTGGTGCTGGAGCTGTACTTGGAGAAAAAACAATTACTGTATCGCTCACTGTTGTAGTGAAATCAGCGAATCCACGATACGTGACCGTAGATAATGGTTTAAGGTCCTGTTTTTTTGACGAAACTTTGGGCTGGGGTTTAAAAATCTTTGGCACTCGTGGACGATATGCCTTGTGCTGTTCGTCATCGAGAGCAATAATATCGACGTCTTTTGTTACGTAATCTTGCTTGACCGTATACGTCGGGAGATCTTCGTTTCTGACCTTGGCTGGCTTAAAATGTATCTCATTTTCAACTTTGCCGAAAATATCGTTGTTTTTTAGATCATTCAAATCTTCCTTCAAGCCTACAGATTGTTTGACACTTTCGTCCTTTTTCCCGATTCCATCTGCCGAATTTTTGAGAAACGGATCATTTTGGATAGGTTTTGGATTTCTGTTTCCTTCGTACGGCGCTGATGGATAAACAACAAAAGGTGCTGACTCATCTGGCGATATGTCCTTGTCGTAAAAAACTCTGCTCGACGTGGACAAAATTTTAGCATAATAACGACCGTTGTTCAAAGTTGTACCCACCACTTGCGTGGCATATTCTGTACTTGCGCCATCTTGAACGAAAGTTCGTGCAGTTTTTGATAAAATTCCAACCGGGGGAGCAGATTTACCGGAACGAGCGGGTACCAACAGAAGAGTCGTAATATTTTCTAATCAAAAAAACGTTGTTCGATAAATCATTTTTAGAAATTCATTGTTTAATTAAAGGGGATTTTTTTTTTTTTTTTTTTAATTCGTGATTATGTTAAAATAAAAATACGTGTTACACCCAAAATGAGGCAGTGTTAAAAGTAACGAGATGTGTCAATGTTAAACAAAAAATGAATAGTTGGTTGTCCGTGTCGTTGAAGTTTGTCGTCAGTTTATTTAAAAATGTAGATTGTCAGAGAGACGAAGTGGCGAACGGACGTTGAAGGCAGACGGCATCCAGTTGTTCAGAAGAGTTGAAGGCAGGGAGCAGACGGGAGCAGTAACAGAAACAGAAAAAAAAGACAGAAACAATCTTAGTAGACTCTAAAATTAGTTGCTTGCTTGCGACTTGAGTTGCACCGCGAAAAAGCCTGCTTTACGTTAATAAACCCTTGTTTCAATTAACAATGTGGTTCGATTGTTGCAAAGATTTATAAAAGCCATTCAAATCGTGGTGAAGAAACACATTTGTTTTAAATATACAGAATATTTATAGAGCAAATGAGTGTGCAGAGTTTTACAGTATTCCATAACACAGTGCAGTTTTTAATATCAATAAAGAAGCATTAAGTGATTATGATAGTCGAGAAAGTTATTGTTATTATTCTTTAAATTAGTAAAATGAAATTTTGCTGTCCAAATCAAAATTTCGCATGATAGTTATTAAGCATATGTGATTTAATTTGTTGTTGCAAAAGTATTTTTATCGTGCTGAATAAATCAATTTAATATGTTCAAAGAGCTAGCGATGAACAATCACTAGCTCGCAATATTATAGCATAATTTGGATTCCAATGATTTGAAAAGGCGTCTTCAAGTTGCTGGTAATGTGAGTATAAAATACAGCAATTTGTACAATGTGAAAAGAGTATATGTGATTGATAGTATATTTAAGCGTATGAATAACAATCATAATGATAATTAAAATAATCATAATAATGATAATAAAATTAAAGCACGATAAAAAAGCGTGAGTTTACTTTGAGTTCACGTGTAAGGCCGCACATCGCGTCAACTCGTGAAAATGTAAGGCTCCAGAAAAATTGTGAAACAGAACAAAGAAAGAAGAAGAATAATGATAAGGCTAGCTTTGTAATTACTGTACATGATTATGTTGTCGTTAAACATGCTTTTAATACATAGTTGCAGATTGTCTTGTTACACTTTTTTTTCATCATGATAGCGTAAGTTGCATACGTTGTTATTTGTAAAATTAATACTTATAATGAAGACTATACAATATATTACAATTGCGAGACACACACAGACACACGTTTGTTATTTTATGAAAAGTGATTGATAATGTATGTACATAGACGCATAATGTTATTTTTGAATTACTTTGAAACTCAATTGGTTTTTTTTTTTTTTTTTT